CAAAGAAAGGGCGGATGAAACAGTTAACCTTAGCAAAGAAAGGGCGGATGAAACAGTTAACCTTAGCAAAGAAAGGGCGGATGAAACAGTTAACCTTAGCAAAGAAAGGGCGGATGAAACAGTTAACCTTAGCAAAGAAAGGGCGGATGAAACAGTTAACCTTAGCAAAGAAAGGGTGGATGATCTTAATGAAGTAAGGGACCATAATGAAGAGGTTATTGACGAAGAAAGAGATGTTGATAGTAACGAATATAATGAAGAGGTTATTGGAGAAGAAATCATGACGAAACTAATGAAGTTACAGAGAATAATAACGAAGCAACGGCGGATAATGAACCGGGTAGAACAATTTTCGAAACGGATTTTCTTGAACAAGAAATTGATGGCTTTAATCAAGGAATTACGAATAGATTTTCCAGGACTATTAACGATATATTCTATCGAGCAAGAAATGGTGAAGAATTTAAGTACAGCAAGTAAGTTTATAAATACGTTTATTATTATTAAATAATTGATCTACCTCGTTACTTTAATTTTCCTTAATTGTCGGTAAAATGATTGTGATTCGTCGATTAAAGATTAAAATATGGGGATGAGTTAATAGGAATCAAACAAATTTTTTATAATCAAATTTTTTAAAATTTTAGAACACAAATAACTTAACGAAACTTAATCAAAATTGATACTTTTTGTTTTTAAATTAATTTTAAAAAATTTTTATTAATTTCATCAAATTTTTGTTAAGTTATTTTGGTTTAAAGTTTTAAAAAAATTGGTTAAAAATTTTTTGCTTGATTTCTATTAACTCGCCCCATATGACTAAGTTTTTTTGTATTTTCCAAAGACTTTATGCTCGTAGAATATTTTACCTGACCAAAGATGAGTTCCCATGGATAACAGAAGGGAAATAAAATTTTGGATCACAGAATTATGTAATAAGGTAATGACGAACTTTTATTTAAAAAAAAATAACTAAATAAATGCAATTGCACATTTAACGTCGGGGATGATGCTAAGATGTATGATGCAGAGAATTACAGTTTATAATAAAAGAGTATATGAGAGTTTAAATTCTCGAATTGAGACTTCAAATTCTTAGCATTATCTCCGACATTCAATAACTTAGTACATGTTTATTTCAGCCGGCATTTAGATCCTGGGACGAATTTGAGAATTGGTTGTTATATTCTTATTTTCAAGAAGCGCAACAGTTTGTAAACACCGGAGATTCGAACCTAATGTGGCTCATTAAGGCAATATTTCATTGTCTCTATCATTTGTAAGTAGTAATTACATTTTATAGAAAATAATATTTTTAGGGTTAAACTAAAAATATACTTATCCATTTACCGTTTAGTGTATCACTTTTTTCGAAAACCCACTTTGACTTGCAACTCGAAGGTGATATTGGTTCGACGTATGTCCATCCCTTGCTCAATATCCTACGAGATTGGGCATCGATAAACATGTAAATTGGTTTATATTTGGTAACAACATTAACGGCTGACAAATATGTATACATTATTTGACAAATTGACGAATAACGTATATTTATATCCCCATTGACATATATGTGTATAAATTCCATGGAGGGCATAATGGGCTAATATTTGTCAGTCTTTTACTTTATTATTATTATGCAGTATTATAATAATGATTAAATTTATATGTTAGTGGTGAACGTCTGAGCAAGGCGGTTTTATATAGACGTCAATTAGGGGCTGACCGGCATGGTAAGGCAATGCGCTCGAAAATGGACGCGGGTGGAACGATTGATGGATGGGAGATGATTTCATTTGAAAATTGCAATAAATCGTCCAACGCTCGAAAAAAATACAATGGTGATTTATCGAAATTAGCCACGTATGACCGTGATGAGCTTGATGAAGTACCTTCCCAATTCGAACAAGTTCAACCAAAACTTGAAAAGATACGAAGTTGGGGACTAATCTCTTACGGTGACCGAGATGCTCATAAAGGATTGCATCTTGATTTATATTCAATGAGGCAGTCCGATAAAGGCATATTTATTTGGGTGCCAGTTGAAAAAGCTGAGCTCCCAAAACATGATATGCCAAAAACTTATGGAACATTTTCATCGATCATTAATTTAATGCTGGTTCTCTCTGTAAGTATAATTAATGATATTTTTTTTATGCATATGTGTATGTGTGCTTCATCTGACTTGTTGAATTGAAACTTAAATCAATTTAACTTAAATATGTATTGCATTAATGGTTATTGATTAAACTAGCTGGGTGTCAAAGAATCTAGCAAAAGAATCTTTGATATCAAAAGAGAGAATACTGTTTTGAAACTATCAGAAGATAATTCTGATGATTCAGATTCACATAATGAATCTGATGAATCAGATTATCCTGACGATAGTTTCGAAGCATCGAATAATAATTCAAGCAAATCTAAAATTGTGCATTATCTCTCTGCTAAAGAGTTGTCAACGCCATTAGCCAAAAGAACAAAGGCATAATAACTTAATAAATAATCTACATTATAATGTTTTTTAAACATATCATTTTTTCGAGACTGTTACCTAAATTACAATTTATGCAGTTTGTTTTATTACTTTGGATGTAAAATTTTAACTTACTATATAAGCAGTTTTTATATTTAATTAACGCTTCATAGTGATGTCGGTGGTGCTTATGCGAATATTACTGATGCATTATCACTGAAACAAAACAAATCAGTAAATTAATACAGCACATACGTGCAATCATTACTAAGATTTTAAGATTAGGCGTAACGTAATACATTCAGAAAGATGCAAATAAAAGTCATTTTGTAAAAAATCGTTTACTTCCCAAAAATACGTATAAGAACCACATTTATCGTTTTAACAAAAATTTTTCCTTGTGAGATTTTAGTATTTATATTTTAAATTTTTAACTCTAACCCTGACCCTACCCTGACCCTACCCTGAGCCTACCATAACCACTAACATAAACGAACCTTAAAGAACTTTGTTTGCCGTACAAACTTTGTACACGTTATCCAAGTGCTAAGTGCAGTTACATGAGCCGCAGCATACAATATAAAATTACAATCAGCAAGTTATCGATATTAATATTAATGGTCGATTGTAATTTCATGCTACTGCACTTTGGTAGCTGCCCAGGCCGAATCTTTTTAATCATTGTGGCTTATTATTTTTCAAGTAAAGCGATGCATATTTTTAGAAACAATGAATCATCCATTTTCCTTACACGTATGTCTAAATAAATGATATATTCATTTTCATGCTAGCTTCTTCGAAAGGTTAAAGGTAACCTCTATAATACTGTTGTTGGTTTTCATGCCATAGGAAATTGTTTATATAACACATTTTCGTCCATTTATTTTATTTATGCATACTTATATTCCATAACGCCAGGACATTTTGTATGAAGTCATCAATGATTTCTTCTGGCTTCTTTGACGTTGCTCGATAAATTATATTATCCGATGGCTTACTATGATTGTGCTGACAAAATAACTCGAGTTATTTGGCAGTGATACGTCAACTGCCAAATAACTTCGTTATTTGGCAGTTTATGTAATCACTACCAAAACTCGAGTCATTTAGAAGCACAATCGTCGTAAAGCCATCGGATAAAACCGTTATTGTATGCTACGCTAGCCAATAACTCTAATGAATTATTTTACAAATAATTCGAGTTATTGTCTGCTACGCATACAATAACTATACAGTATGCTCGGAAACGATCGACGATCACGTGATCCCACCTTTTTTGCTACCTGTTTCAGCATTGAAAATTTAGATTCTTAGCCTAATAATATTCTTATACCGCAAATTCTCGAAATAAGGACATTTGCGCGTTATTTCGAGTGCGGCCATACCGTCATTTTGAATAACAGATCGATTTTCTTAGCGTAAAGAACTTTTTAGGCAAAAGTTTCTGCAGTGATAATGTGCGAGTTTTTATTATATTAGTCAATACTAATATAATAAAATTAACTGAATATGATAACTATGAAGATTCTTCACGATTATCACGAGTTGTTTGGGACGCACATGGCGCTATTCCAAAACCAAATATACTATTTTTAGAGTGCACGATGTTCGAAATAGCGCCTATGCCCATTATTTCTAGAATACAGTGCTTTGTTTTTCGTAAGTATCCGTTTTATCAACATGTCTCTTATGTAACTTTTAAAACTTAATTACACATTTTTTTATTTATAGGACCATTGTGATTATGCTATTAAAATATATCGTCGCTTATGTCTAATCGTTGATATCGTCTCTTATATGATTATTAATACAATTACATTGTTAATAGAAAAGTTATTATTTGCGCATATAACATTAATAAAACATTGAATGGGTTTTATGGTTAAAGCACCGTTATGTATTTGATTTGTAGGATAAAAAGAACTATGGAAATAAAAAAATCTATCGAAATAATAAACAGAGGTAATAAATAATGAGAATAATGATTATGTTGTTAATACTGATAGAATAAAAAAGTAAAAGCTTAATATTTTATTCTTAATTTTTATGTTTATGCCTTTATTGACGCATTTAATAATCATTTTTTATATCCGAAATGAGATTTAATAATCATTTTTATATCGAAATGAGATTTATTAATTACAAATTATATATTGTAAAAGTTAGCAAGTAAATTAAATATACCATTGTTTATTAATGATTTTAATTCGACAATATGTTTAAAGAATTGGCATATTGACCATTTTCACATGTTTTCGTCTTATTTTTTAGATTGATAGTTATGAATTAGTGTAAGAAAATCATTACGACTCTATTATGTGTGTGATCAGCTAGTACTATATAAACTAGGAAAACGGGTTCCGGAGCGCCGCTTTGTATTTGCACACAAATCTAATTATTTGCAAGATATTAATAAAATTTCTTATAGTGTGTGTACAACAGTTATATACTTACCTTTAGATATCTGTCCAATGAAAGCTAAAGGCTTTAACACTGTAAAATCGGTTCTTAGGGATCCCTAATTTCCCCAACCACTTCTGATTGGTCGTGTGTAAATGACATCTCTAATTGTGCATTGCAGACTACGCCATTCTTCGTTTGCCAAATCAAATTACAAGATCTGGTGCATCATAAAATTGCAAGAAAAGGAATAGAAGTTTTTTAAAATCAATAACTCAAAATTTTATTTATGAAACCGCCTTTCGTGTTCTAACAAAACAAAAATCCTTG